AATTATACAAAAGGGTGTTGTTCTGTCTACAGCTCTCCCTCAACACACTGAGGCCTACCTGCCTGTCTGAGACACTACAAAGAATTCCAGGCCCCGTAATGACACTGAAAAGTGAAGGACGGCAAATCATTTTAGAAATAGTTTGAAAATTCCCGAGAAGTCTTGGGAACTGGGCAGAAACAAAGGTCATGAAGCAGTGGCAGGCTTACATTTTACCAATTGTTTGGTCTAGCCAAGTGAATTCAGGATTAGAAAAGTGACAGATTTCCCTTAACGTCACAAAGTACTCTGAACAGAATGACTTCATTTGTGGTCTGTGTTCTCTCCAGTACTTTTGCCAAACCAGACTTTCTTGGCCATCCTTGTCTCTTTTGGAAAACAAAGTGGTGTGTCTTAGACTGTTAAAACTTGTGAATATATTTCAAGGATGATTAAGACTCTCATAGCACACCATTAAATGTTTAAATTCTCAAACATCCCTTATTTTGTATTCTGCCTCTGATCTTTTGTACAACTGTCTTTGTTTCCTATGTTTAAATTTATCCCCACAAAATTATAAATTACTTTAAAAACTGTACATGAAAAAACGGTTAATATTCAGATTCATAATGTTAATCATAAGAAACCTTGAATATTTTGGTACATTGCTATTTTAAAAATTCTTTCAAAAGACAATTTAAAAACGCAAAACAGCTTCATTCTTATTAGCCCGAACTGGATACAACTCAAATGTCCATCAAGAGGGGAATGAATAAACAAACTGTAATATATTCAGACAATAACTATTCAGCAAAAAAATAAATAAACTTCTGATTGCCGTTACTATGAATTTCAAAACATCCAGTGAAGAATCAGAGGTGAATGAGCATGTACTATACAAAAACGTGTACATAAAGTTCTAGAGCAGGCAAATGCAAATCAGTGAGAGACTGGAACAGTGAGTGGAAGGGAAATGGAGAATGAGATTGGAAAGTGTCACAAATGAGTGATGGTGATACAGCTGTAATACATTTGTTAAAACTCAAACGTAAGCATCCACTAAGTCACAGGATCTTATTCCCTGCGTCTGGACTCTTGGGGCAGAGAGTATGTTCGCTTAAGTTTCAAAAAAAGATTCTCACAAGAAATTAAAGTAAGAAGTTGTTAGATTCTTCAAGCTTGGAAGACAAAATCCTCCATATAGATCCACCATGTAAAAAAAGTTCTCGTAAAAATATCCATTGAAATTAACATATAACAAAATATTTATTTTATTGTTGAAAAATTAAAAATAGTAGACAAGCATAAGTAGTTACAGTTCAAGCAGAGCAATACAAATATGTAAATTATTGCAGTTTTAAAAGAAGAGTATAACAGCCAAAACAATGTCTAAACAAACTTTTTGGAAACCAACTCTGGTTTTTCCAAATGTCTTAGCACAGATTTGTAAAGTAAATTTCTAACACCAAAGAAAGATTAAGTTTGATGATCATGGTCTAATCTACTAGACTTAAAGCAAGGTTAACACGCATGACATATCGTAAAAGTAACAATGGCTTTCTACAGAAGTCGCTACATAACACCTCCTAAACTGCCCTTTTCAAAGTAGTAGAATGAAAATAAATATTCTACATATTTGAAAGAAATAAGAAACACGCATTAATTAAAATTCCCTTTGTTTTATGTGCAGGCGAGGGACGTTCAACTAATACTTTTTGGGGGGAGGGGGGCAGGCAATAACTCATCTCCATGATTTTGCTTCACTCCTGTATCACTAAAATACGGTAGTAATCTGGACTCATAAACTAAAAAGAATATGAAAAGTATGTATTACAAAGGAGATGCTAAAAAAATCTCAGTGCTAGGGACTTGCTGTGATAGGGTTCACAGCAACAAAACCAAGTTGCTTAATACATTAGACTACAGGCAATTAAGAAAAGATGAAAGGAAATACTGAGACACAAGACCCGTACAGGTACAGAGCTCTTATTACCTTATTATTCAGGGAAGTAAACTCCCATTCCATCACCAAAAAGCTTAATTTGGCAAGAATAACCTGTTGAGTTTTATATCTTACTGATTTTCACCACGAACTTTTTCAAATAATTATTTCCACCAACCTGAAGTTAAAAATGCAACTGAATACTGAAATGAAATCAGTTAACTTTGCTTTTACAGCCATATCTGAACACGAGATAAAGAATTTTGAGAGTATTAAAGTTCTTAAGGACCTACAAATACTATCTTACCTTAGCATAAGCAGTAACATCTGTTAGTAACTAACTGGCATAAATTAGAAAAGTAACACTACAATAGCCATTGAAAAGTTTTCATGTCACATAACTTAATTTTATGCTAACACGAACCTCCTACTAAGCTACACAAATAATTTATTCTTTAAAAGTTCCTATTTAACTTTGGAACATATATATTTTTACAACATTAATAACACAAGATGTCTTCTAAACAAAATAAAACCCAAACTGGCAAACATTAACACACAAATAGATCCAAAAAGTAAAAAAACAAAACAAAACAAAGAAATACTAGTAAAAATTGACTGACAAGACTCAAATGTAAACACCGAGGTAAAAGACGTATGATAAAAAAACAATGCACTTTATACCATTTTCAGTGGTAAAGAATGTGGTGAAATGAAAAACCAGAGAAATCTCAAGATGCCAACAAAATAGAATATATTTCCTAAACCACTTTCCAACATGAACTTGGTATTTTAAAAATAATCCTCAAATGTATATAAAAATGGGCACTTTGTGGTGAAATGAACATAGAACTTGAAAAAGAACATTTCTTTGCCCCAACATCATACATATGAAACTACAAAATACTATTCTGCTGCCTGCATCTATTATTGGTGTCTTAAGTGCATGACTTAAAAAAAAAAAAAAAAAAAAAAAGACAAATTAGGACATTAAATACTAGGATCAAAGGACGACAAAAGGCTGACCAGATTTGAAAACTTTAATTAAGAGAACATATTGGGTGGTGTCAAAATCACTTTTGACTTCAGACTTTCAAGAACTCAATTCGACTTCTCTAATTATGAAATTTAACATGAAAAATATTGATTTCATTCCCCTTAATCATATAGACTCTGAAATAATAATAATTTGCAGCCTCTCTTTTGCCATTTTTCAAACTGAAGGTATAGATAAGGTTTTCTTTTAAACTTCCTCAGAAAGTACTAACAACTGTACAGAACAGCCAAGTATGGTAACCACTATTTGTGGTATTTTATATTCTCTCAAGGTAGAATTCAACTCTGTCCCTTAGTCTTATTTTAGAATATTCACTAATTTCATATTCAATCAAGAAATCTACCATTGCGGGTCTGGCAAGGTAGTTCAGTTAGTTGGTTAAAGCATCATCTTGATATGCCATGGTTGTGGGTACAAACCCTGGTCAGGGTACATACAAGAACCAACCAGTGAATGCATAAATAACAACAAACTGATGTTTCTCTAAAATCAATAAATTAAAAAAACTACCAATGGAATATAAAGTAAGTTTATCAAATATTTGAATAAACTATTGTGCAAAATACTCTAACGAAATTTTTTCTACTAGAATATTTAGCCAAATAAAGTACTAGTGTGAGTACCAGCACCACAGATATTTTTTAGGAGCACCTTTCCTTTGAAGAGCGTAAGTAGAAATACCTAAATGAATAAATCAGAGTCCCTGATTAAGAGCTTGGTACATGCATAATCCCATCAAATTTTTCCTAACTTATTAGTAAAGCTGCATAGCTGCCAGAAATTCTTTAAGAAATAAGCACATACTTTCTTTGGCTAACACTGTTGTGTTCGGGGCTGCACCATATGGCTCACACGCTGGAAATATGCTACTACTGGTATCTAACGCAACCCATCCCGAAGTTTTATGGCTGTCCCCAAGTGATCTAAATAGCACAAATGTGTGCAAGCACTGGCTGGGAACATCCTTAATGAATTATGCTACAAAAGAGTAAAGTCAAACTTGAAAATGTGACCACAACAACTAAGCATTAAGATCCTTACTGGCATCATCCAGAAAAGTCTTTATTAACTTGTAAATTTACGGATTTTGATATTGCACACATTCAATTTAAAGCTTATCAAACACTAAGGCAATGTATCCCCACTCCTGGATTTTATATTCATTTTGGATGACGCAAAGAATCGAAAGAAAATGAAAGCATTTTTCAAAAGCTCCCTCCAAAAAGTAGTTATGCCATACTTTGAAGATGAATGAGATATCAATTAATATTCATGGGCAAATTTAACCCATTTTAGTATTACAAAAAGTTTTCTTCTAGTTTTTGTTCAAGACTAATTTCAATGATGTTGATACACAATTTGGATAATTCAAGGGTTCTTGAACCTTTATCCAAAGCGGCACACAAAATAATTTTAACATTTTCAAAGATAGGACAATTATTTCACAGTGCATTCAAATTTGTAGATATGACATTTGACTTGTAAGTGAGCCTTGACTTATTCTGGCCAAATTCTAACACATCAAAATAGAATGAAAGTAATAATGAAATAAAAGAGGCTTTTACTTCTGTGGAGACAAGCTGACATACAAAAGCTAGATTAGCATTTTCTTCCTGAACAAACTCAAAATTGCTTTTGTTAGAAAAAAATTATATTTTATTTTCTTGTATATTTGCTTTAAAAAGTTATTAATTCCTCTTTCGTAAGAGTTATTAGAAGTCAAACAATTCAACTAGATAGATTTCTACTCCAAAATACATTTATCTTTGGAAAACAAGATAATAGTTGTAAAAGCAGTGTATTAAGAGAATAAAATGCAGTGATCTGAAATATGGGTAACATACTTACGCATGAAAGTGTAAATATAATATACAGAACCATTCAAATACATTTATAAAGAGAATGGAAAGGTACCTAAAATAGCATTTTTATATATAAAATTTTCATATTAAAATATTGCTCATAATAAATAAGAGGTGATATTACGAATTTCATTTCCCTCTTAAAATTTTTATCGTTAGTAGTTCAGACTAATCTAAGGAGTTTGTTAACCTATTGTTTTGAAAGGTGAATTAATTACATTAAACTGTGTGTAATAAAATCACACTGTAACAGTATATTTAAACAGTCATTATGTGGTAAAAGGGCCACTTAGTAATTATGGGAAAAAAGATTCCCAAAATAAGCCAAAATGATTTACCCTAGAAGCCTAAAGTGCAATGATCCGCTTTATTTGACAAAGATAAATACTGCCTTTAAGCTTTGCAAATTTAATGACCATAACAAAATGAACCATAACTGTCTTCATCTTGTTCTGCGTTTGCATGCCTGGCAGACCAGTAACTGGTAGGGTGTAGGAAGTAAGTGTTCAGTTGAGCTCAGTTGTTTATGGACAGGTGTGACTTCATTCCTGTTCGTCCCACTTGCAGACATGGTAACTTGGAATAGTTCTTGACAAGCTTTTCGATGGCAACATGACGGACATGGAGCTCTGAGGCTAAAGAATCTTTTTCTTGCACTTGCTGTGTTAACTCTTCAAAAACTTCTGTAAAAATGTAAAAAGAAGTTCCATTTTTAGGACACAGAAAGCTTATCCTGTCATTTTTATTTCAAGTACTTTAACTGAATGCACTGTGTGAATGTTTGCAATGAAAATGATCTGACACCAAAGAAACAGTTGTGTTTTGATCTTTTTAGGATGTTGTATACTTTGCATAGCCAGCTGGAATATGGTGTTCCTTTCTCCACCAAGTGAGACTTACGCATCATAAGCAACGACTATACAGACATGCAGCAAAAGTGGCAGTACAACTACCTCTGAGACCCTTTTCCCAATTTGAAATAGAAACAGGTTCAGTCAATATCTAGTAGGACTTATGGAAAGTAAGTGCACCATTAGTGCCTCGGTCTAGAGACCCCTCTATGTGGCTTTGGAATCAGACTACTTGGAATGTCAAACCTTGTCCTTACTCTTACAAGTCTCAGGCAAAGTAATGTAAACAATGTTTTAGTGTCCCCTTATGCATTGTCTTGAGGAGAGCAAATCTTTCACAATGTGACTGTGAGGATTCAGTACGGTAATACTTGTAAAGTGCTTACCACAAAGTAAGCACTTGATAAATATATGTTGCTATTACTATTATTATTTTATTATTCTGAGAGGCCATGTGGTCAAGAAATACCACTAGCCTTGGAGTTAAAAAGACAGGGGTCAGAACCTTTAATCCATTACTGACTAAATGCATGATCTCTTTAAGCAACTTAACTGTCTTTGGAGTGTAGTTCCCTCATGGAAATGGGAATCAATTGTGTGGGGAAAAAAAAAAAAGTACAGAGACAATTGCGGAATCAAAACACTGTTAACTGTTGGTGTAGTATCATATTTCATGTTAGAGAATTACTAGCTGGTATTTTTTTTTTTTAAGAGATATGATGAGGTTTTGGTTATCTTAAAAAAAAGTTATCTTTTAGAGTAAATCCTGAAGTATTCTTGGACAAACACTATATTGTTTGGGATTTGTTTCAAAGTAATCCATGCTGGGGTGGGGATGGGGCGAGGGTAATGGGTTCAAGCATAGATGAAGGAAAACTGGCTATGCTTTTTATAAGAGCTGAAGCTGACAAAAATGGGTCAAGGTATTCATTATACTATTCTTAGTAGCTTTGTGTTTGAAATTGCTCAAAACCAGGGCTCATACTGGCGTGAAAGAACTGTTGGGGTGGGGGTCACATGCTCAGTACCAGGCACAGTGGTAGGGAGGGAGCCAATAAAATGTTAGTAAGAAGGTAGAGATTAAGTTGTAGTCTTCATTTTCACTTAAAAAAAGAAAAACCTATTTCCCCTGCAGTTCATAAGGAAGTTGTTCTCTTATTCTTTCTGCTCTGGAAACTAACAGGTTTTAATCCTATTTCCAAATTTAAATGCAGATAAAGCTGATGTTACCCTGTTACAGGGGATTTTCTGTATCAAAATTTTCACATGCAAAAAAAATAAAATAAAATTGACACTGATTCTTTACCCTGTATTTGCTGTTGGAGCTTTGCATTCAGTTGCTTTACCTCACCAAAAGTCATCGAATTCACTGAAACATGAAAATATATTCATTATTACCACAACAACCTGAGAAAATACGCTGTCTTCATCACTAACACAATATCCTATATAAAAAAATATTTGTACTTATCTGCCAACATAACATTCAGCAGTACCTTGGATTCATTACCTCCTGCAGTGTGGAGTTTTTAAATCCTAACCTCCATCCATAGTAAAAAACATACTTTACATCACTCCGAGTACACCTCCCTGCTCCTGGAAGCAAAAGTTTCACTGGAAAGCACTTCATTAGGTCCACTGGATTCTGATATAGCCCATCAAGTCAATTTTGCTTAAATGTTACAGTTCATGATTCCCATTTTGAAGAACACTACTATAAAGTACTGGAAACAGTCTGAAAAATCATGTTGCTTATCTAGTTATATAACCTTAGATATGCCCAATCAAGAAGTTTTATAAAAATATACCCATGGTCCTTTCTTGCTGTAAAATTATTTAAGTCAATTAAGATTATCTCAGCTTCTGCCAGTTTTTGTAGATGGAGGCTGAATGAGTCACTTTTCTAACTTTAAAGAACACATTACCTCTAGCCTTAAGTAAAATGTCAGATTTTTGCTTTTGAAATGCCATTCCCAGTCAATTAGTCTTGTAGGGATTAGCAATGTGACAATGCGTGTAAGCCAATGGTTGAGGCTGTATTTCTAAACTATATGAACCTTGATCTTTTCAGTTAAGTTTGTTGATTCCATTTGGTTTACTCATTTAGAATGGCAAAAACAATTCATGGTACTGCAGAATTCCAATGCTTGGGACATACTATGCAGTATTCCAGAGAACTGATGCAGCGTTTTAGGACATCTCATTTCTTATGGGGCGAATCTGTCACTTAAATATTCTATTTATCAAATCTATAATTCTACAGCAAAATTCTTAAAACACTACATACATCAGAATGTAAAAAAAACACAAACCCAGTAAGACTTTGTTTCACCTTTCTCCCATTTTACTTACATTCCTCTCTGCTGTAATGAGGATGCTGGGACTGGACATTTGCCTCTTGATTAGAGATTGTCTCTTCTTTTTTCTGTGCCTGGTTTTGACTGTGAGGCCACAGTTCACTACTGTGGCATAAAGTGGCACCTGAATCCTGTAACACAGCCAGCCCAAAGTCTGTATTTTCTCTCTGCTCCAATATTCTCTGTGTGCAGTCTGAGAGGCCACCTGTACTTCCATCTATCCACTTAGCAGAATACTTTGGTACTTGGAAGTCACACTGTGGGAGTAACTTTGTATCTGGTTTATGCCTAAAATTAAACAGGTGATCCTGGGGATTTTTAGAACATTCAGAATCTGAATCTGCATCCTTATTTTGTGCATACTGTACAATCCAGTTTATCTTCTTACTCAAAATGGTTTTAACATCTTCATAGTAAGTACTTTTTGAAAGTTTAGATCGAGGACAATCCTGGTTTGCAATCAAATGGTATTTTTCAAAGCAGTCTTTATGGCCCCTTAATGATGTGGTGTGCAAGAGATTAGATTTTGGGACTCCTATTAAAAACAAGAGAGAGAAAATTTTGCTTTTCCAAGTTGCATTAATACACAAATCTAGTAAAACACAGTCACTGATAGTTTGTAAACTAGAGGAAAAATGCTAAAGAATATTGGTATTAATAATATAAAATGTGGTCTAATAATTCTGCTTCAATTTAATTATATGTTCAGTATATTAAATTCTTACAAATAGTAAAGCCTTTTTAAGGACTTAAAAGATTTCACTTTAACTTCAGTCTAGAGGCATGTTATTGCACACAATATAAAAAGCTACTGAACTAGCAATTTACATTTACAGGATCTTGGCCTTTACATTACTGTGCTTTCTTCACAATCCTCCAGAAGTACACACTTGCAAAAATTTCTACTCTAAGGCTCAAGAAGAGTAATGCTTCATAATTTCTTCCGCAACAAGAGCACAGTAAATCATATTCTTTAATTATTAGTTATGTTTTTACTATTAGTTATGTTTTTACTATTAGTTATGTTTTATGTTTTTGTTGTTTCCTCCACTGATCACAAAAAATAAATCAGAACCAGAAAAATACACATTTTAATAAAAGCTTCAAAAAGTCAATGAACTGTTAAGGTAATAAGCACAAATTAAAGAATCTCAAATGTTTTCACACTTTCGTTTTATACTTATTAAAACTTTATCAAGATAATTTTATCTTCTAGAAAAATGCACTACACAAAATCATTTTCCATATAGCAGTAAATACAATCTGACAAGATACAATAGACAGAATAATTCTTCAATTCACAAATGTTCATTATACATTGGAAATATTCTTATTACAATTCTATATGGAAATAATGGAAATATTCTTATTACACTTCTACATATCCCATCTTTTTTAGTAGAGCTTAAGTATCGTAAATCAATTGTTTTTTAAAATATAGAGTACAGTTTCAAATATAAACTTCAAACTACAGAATATTCATACATTTTCATAAGTTTAAGCCACTTTATTCAAGTCAAACAGCAGTGCTTTTATATTAAAGACAAATAGGGATGTGGAGCTGAAAATTAATGCCTGCCAGAAGTGAACACTCTAAATCTGCTTAGCTGTGAAAACAGAGTGAGGGGGAAGCCACGCAGGTGCTAGATTAAAAAAAGTTTTAGCTGACTCATCAGAAAAAAGTTCATCCTTTGTTTTAAAAATTGAAGTTGTAAGAATTTTATTAAATGAGCTCCAGACTCCAATAACAGTAAGATAACGAAGTATTTGCGCTTTAATGGTCAATCAGGTATAAAAGTGTCTGCGGATAACCAAATGGGCTCTCCAGCAGGCCTTCACAGGCTACGTGAGAGTGCCTCCTGAACACTGGTGTTATAAGCACATGTGAACAACTGTTCTCACGAGGTAAACTCAAATATGTCAGCATTGTTTCTTCCACTGAACACAAAAACTGAACTTAGAATATCATACACATTTTAAGTACCCTTTTGCTACTTGTACTGCAATTATGTGTGTATATACGCCTTAAAAAAACCAGTTATTGTATCTACTTAGGTTAAATTTCCAGCAAAGTTAAAATACTTAAGTACAAAACCTTAAAGCTCTATTTGATAACCCAGGGTACACCTTTGAAACTAGATAAATTAACATAAAAAGTTCACACACCTTCGTATCAGAAAAATATCAAAAATTTTGTTATATAGGTTTTAGATCATAAGACAATATTTAATATGAATTATAAACCAAATAGCTCCATTCTTCTGTTTGATTCTAATATTGCTCTGGATACACAGCAGGTAGGCAGAGAGAACCTGAAACCTGCCTACTTTACTAACCTCAGAAAATTTATTAGAGAGCTTCCTCATGCTGTACATACTCTGTTAGGTCTCACTGCAGACAGAGGACTAGCCATTCCCACGCCCCCCCCGTCAAAATAAATGGTCTCATTCTCATTCCATTGCCACAGCACTCATTCCTGTAGTAATGATTTATTCAATAGGTGAATCTAAAAAGTAAATTAGAAGATTCTCTGTCAAGTCTGTATGAAAAGAAACTCTTTAACACATACAAAGGTTCAAAATTAGGCTACAAAAAGTGACTAATTTTACTGTTAAGTTTTAAAAATTTATTTAGAAACTTCAGAACTTTTATTAAGAAATTGTATGAAATGATGAATTTCCCAATGTACCCGTAATACCCCATAGCTTTAACAACTGGTCAATATAATAGATGTCTATTTGAAGAATAACAACATGAACTTTTAAAGTTTTTTCATTCAGTGTTGCTTCTTAGTAATTCATGTGATACAACTTTTTCTCCAGAAATAATTTTTCTTTTAACTTTCACTTAAATGCCCAAATGAATACTAGGAACCCAGCTAAGCAAGAACTTGCACACGGTAATCTGTGGAGATGAATGGCAAATTAGAGAACCACACTGTTCAGTTTACTGTGTAATGCCACTAAAACTTCAGATTCTTTCTGACACTCAGGAGAAAAGTCCTCTAAAAATGAAAACAAGCAAACAAACAGCGTCATGGGCAAGAGTTCCGCTACAGTGTACATTTCCACTTCACGTCTCACTGGCTTCTCAGACTCCCCCTGCATAAACCCCCCTTCTCCCTGCTGAGAGACGGAACCTGGGTGTCCTCCTGGGCGGCTCCCTCCCCACTCTCGGAGATGCTCTGCTGTCCATCTCAGCAGGCCCCCCACCCCCTCCAGGAATGTCCAGCAGTTCCTCTCCAATCCCGCTTCCCTCCGTCACCGCTCCCACCACACATCTGGGCCGTCATCCTCTCCTGTCTGGTTCTCATTTTCTCTAAGAAATATTTTCTAACCACTGATTCGTTTATCCCACGAGATTTTCCAATGGCCTCTTCAGTTAGTAAGTTCTGGCCTTTATCTCCCTTTAGAAAGTTCCGTGAGAACGAGGACCACGTGGGTTTTCCACGCATCCTCAATGTCACAGGGCCTGGTGCAGAGTGAATATTACAGAAAGAGTGAAATGAATATACAAGAATTAAAATTATATTCTAACAAACCAACACTTATCACCAATTATCATTCAAGGACTACTGCAATGAATTTTTTTTTTCCTATTTTTTTAATCCTATTAAGGGAACCAGGATGTGCAGTTTTGCCAGGCTGCTCAAAGGTTAATTAAAGGGATCTTCCAGTGGACTTACTCCTATTATTTAGTTTAATGGGCCATTAGTTTGAAGAACTGATTAGTGGCACTCATATAGAGATGCCATTCTTGTGGAATCATTCAACCTGCCAAGCAAAATCAGGAACTTCTACTCAATTATATATTTCAACAGAAAATTTACATACACTGAATATTTTTAAAAGGCTGCTTTGTGTAAACTGTAGCTCATTCATCTAGATCTTCATCTCTTCTTTTCGCTCACTAAAAATTTAAAACTTGACTGAATTTTGAAGTTCACCTTGAAAATATTTGTTACATAAACACAGCGTCAAACCTGTGGCCCATGGGCCACATGCTGCCCAGGAGGGCTATGAATTAGGCCCAACACAAAATTGTAAATTTACTTTAAAACCCTTTTTTGCTCATCAGTTTTCCTTAGTGTTTGTGTATTTAATGTGTGGCCCAAAAAAACTCTTCTTCCAGTGTAGCCCAGAGATGCCAAAAAGTTGGATACTCGTGGTTTAAAATACCCCATGTAGTAGCAACAGGCACAAAAAATTTAAAAAATGTAATACATCGACTACTTCTGATACTTAAATTACATTTTCATTTAGAAAATGTAAATAGCCCACTTAATTTGTATCCAATCTATATGCCATTTTATAAACTCTTTAAGTGATTTTGCTTTTTCCACCTCATCAGTTTGAATTAATATAAGAGAAAAAACAATTGCTATTTTCAGAGATCCCGGAGTTTCCCAACTGACTTTAAATTTTAATTGCACTTACAAATGTAAACAGCGCCAAGCACTAATTTGTTTCCTCAGCAGTTTTTGAAAGGGACTTAATCTAAATGCAATTAAATGAGTTGATACTTTTGAGGAGCTGATTTATAAGGAATTTCCAAACCAGTTCAACAAGAACTGCTTATTATTTGCTAATAAAAATTTTGAAGGCCAATGTAATTGACATCCTATTATGAAAACTTCTTTAAAATATACTTCAAAGATGTCCATGTGACTTTTTTTAATCATAAGGTTATTATTTTTAGAGAACCAAGACCTTAATTGGCAACCACAATTACTAATTTTTTAAAGTTCTTGTTTCCTTTGTTTTTAAATTTTGTTTATGCTATTACAGTTGTCCTGATTTCCTCCCCTGGCCCCCCTCGCCCCAGCTCCCCCTTCCCAGGCAATCCTGACACTGCTGTTCATGCCCATGCGTCACGCATACGTGTTCTTTGTCTAATCCCTTCATCTTCTTTCAACCAGTCCCAACCTCTCCCCTACCCTCTTACAGCTATCAGTCTGTTCCTTGTTGCTGTACCTGATTCTATTTTGCTCATTAGTTTATTCTGTTCCTTAGATTCTAGTTACACAAGTGAGATCATACAGTATTTGTCTTTCATTGCCTGGCTTATTTCACTTCACATAATAGTCTTCGGTTCTATCCATGCTGTTGCAAACGGCAGGAATTCTTTTTTACTTCTGCATAGTATTTCACTGTGCAAATGTATTGCAGCTTTTTTATCCACTCATCTCCTGGTGGGCACTTAGGCTGTCCCCACCAGGGAATAAGTAAATAAGATTGTTATTTACTTATTGTAAATAACGTGGCTATGAACATAGGGGTGCATTTATTTTTTTTGAATTGGTGTTTTGGGATGCTTTGGATATACTCCCAGAAGCAGTATTGCTGGGTCAAAAAGGAGATTCCATTTTTAATTTTGTGAGGAAATTCCATACTGTTTTCCCTAGTGGCTGCACCAGCCTGCATTCCCACCAACAGTGCAGTAGGGCTTCCTTTTCTCCGCATCCTTGCCAGGACTTGTTTGCGGATTTATTAATGATGGCCATTCTGACAAGCATAAGGTAATATCTCATTGTGG